TAACATGGGCCCCTGCGCTAACACACACTTAGGCTATGTTCAAAGTATAACGGGTAGCTTTCAGTGGCGGCACGAAAAGCTACCCGGTAAGTGTGAACACCGAGCCTTACAGACACGTCGCTTTTAGACCCTGAAGGCAAAATGTAAGTTATCTGACTCTCTTTACGACGGAACCAAGACCGAATGGCATTTTCCAACACAATCTCGTTCCCAGGTTCTCTCTCCTATCTGTAGGGGAGGGGAGGAGTGAACCCTGGGAACGAAGTTGTCTCCAAAATTCAGACCTAAAATTATTAAAAATTACAAATATTTCGCACCCGTTGGTTTGGTTCTCTTGGTTGGATTTTTAACTCCTGTTGCTCATTACCAGTCGTATACAGCTATTTCGAGAAAGGTTGTCGGAAAAAGTGCACGCGACAATCCCGAAAGGTATTGTGCGTGGTTTTGAGTACTGTTCTTCAAAGAAAGTCAGGATATAATGGCACGAGAGGCCATGGACATATGCTTGCGAGTGCTAAAGGAAAGCAACAAAAGTAGGTTCGACAACTACCCAGTCAAGAATAGTGTATTGATCATATCCCATATTACCTTTCGGGATTGTCGCGTGCACATTTTTTCCGACAACCTTTCTCGCAATAGCTGTATTCTCGGCTTGCACTGTCACGCAATGAAAAATAAAGATGCAAACCATTCAATACAGAAGGACTAGAATCTGGGAAATGAAAAAAGATAAATATACAAAAACCCTTGCCAAGAATCAGGTCTGTGAAATATTTCAAATGCGAGATATTGGGAAAAACGGTTTACCTATATTTATAAAGCTTTGTACGGAAACGCCATGTAGGAACACCAATATGGCCGCTGGATACCAACAGAAACATCTGTTTTCGAGTTTTCCTACTAATGCGTGAATTGTTCGCTTGAGGAAATCATAAAGATTACAGTAATATTTATTCTGAGACAAGGAATGTTTAAATTGCAAAATCTCCCAAAATCGGTAATGTTTTTAACCCACATAAGAGCTTTCCCGGCCGCCAGCTGAATGCTGCGTCACGCAGAAGCCTGGAAATTCAAGCGTCCTTTCTCCAAAACGAACAACTCTTTCGAACCAAAAATTTGTTTATGTAAAGGTGTTTAGGTACTGTAATACCTCGTGAAAGTAGAAACTCAGAAGAATTGATAGTTTCTTAGTTTGATTTTTGGTGACGTCACGTGCAACCCAAGAATTCAAATACATATGAACCCTCGAATGGACATTTTCTCAAAAGCCTATTTTCTGTACCCCGCTACCACGGATTTCGATTAATATGACTTTGTAAAACTCGTTTCGGCTGGGTCATTGGTCAGGAGGTAAAACTCTTACAGTATAAGTGTGCTTTCCATTCACGTTTAGAACTGGCCGGCCAGCCAAGCCGGTCGTGATGAGAATTTATCTTTTAATCAGAACTTAATTATTCAGTTCCTAAGTAATAGGCTTGGGTTTGAGGGTGTGTTCAGCGAAAACAGTTTAAAAAAAAAACTTATTTCACATTTGGAACTGACCGACTCAGCCGGTCTTAGTGTTCTCACGTTCAGAAAGCGCCCTAAGAACAAGACTAAAGGTCCCAAAAAGTGTCCAAAAAAATGGGAGTTGACTGTATTTTGACTGAATAAGAGATCTTTTTGTCATGTACACTTACTGACAACAAAAGAACGGCGACATAATAAAAATACTAACAGTAATATTGTGACTGATAATTACAATAGTACTTTCCTAGGGCAAAAGCGGGGCTCAAGTCCAATACTAAAACCGGATCAACCTTGTGCCTAATTTAAAATACGAAATATTTACAATGATACGTAGTTTGAGATGGTATTCAATTTTCTCTACCGATTTGCCTGTCTAAAGGTTGTTAACAAGCAGAAAGTGCTCAAAATTAAATTATTTGTTCATCCACCCACGTAACATTTTTTCCCTCCTGTTATGACAAAAAATTAACAGATCAATTGAATTGACGCCTGCGTACAAATTCAAGTTCACCTTTCAAAATAAATCATCAGTTCAGTATAAGCTTTCCGGTCATTCAGCCTGTTTATATTTTGGATAGCTCAATACAAGGAAATATTTTGTAGATTTACATGCGGAAGTTTTAGGCGTATTTTGCTGGCCAATCTAGCTGTTTGATTTGAACAATTTCGAACTAGCATTGTAGAAACTTGAAAAATTAAAAAATTAAAAAATCAAAGCAAAAAAAAAAACACTCGTATGCTTGCGTCCCTTTCACTCATCTGAATTGCGACTTCATGTTGCGAGTTGTGGTTTCAACTGGTCAGTCAAACTCAGGCTGCCCAGCTCTTGGCAAAAAGACAACAGCTAGTAGTAATTCGATCATGAGCTAAAAAAAGTAGTCAATGGTCTTAAACCCTGTTTTAAAAAAAGGGTTATTCTTCTTACCTATTTTCTAAAGACCCCAGAAACGATTTTGCTTCGTGCCTGCTGTGTATCATGTTCGCTCCTAGCGTGTACACAAAGACAGCGCGCATTTCTCACATTAATATGTACTAGCACCATGACTCGTGCTTCATTAACGATGGCATACATTAACATTGACCGAGAAACGTGAACAAGGTAAACAATGAATTTCAAACAACATGAAAGCCACGCTGCCCTTTAAAATGTGATTTTTTTATACTGTCGACAATCAAATTAAAACATTGATGGAAACACACATAAACTATATAAGATCTTTTTCTGTGGTTTATGTTTCCTCGCTATAAGATCTGGTTTGTAAGTAAATTTTATGATTAAAATCATGGAAAAATCAACACGCAAAGACGCGACACGCCTCCGCCATTCCCGGTTCTATCTAACTCATTCAGTCATAAAACATTACTGAGTAATTATAGATGCAGAAGAGGAAAATATCAGGCAATAGTAAAAAAAACTTAGAAAAAGTAAATACCACTTACTATCACGCCAAACTGAAAAAAAAAAGATATATATTCAAGGTTTTTGTATAAAATATAAATCTAATAGTACAGAACGTGACCAGGAGTAAAGCTGGGTTTACTATCTTATGTGTCTTTGACATGTAAATATGCCTTAAAATCATGGCAGTGACGGTTAGTGTTCAAAAATATTTGATCCTAAATTAAAATTATCATACTTTAAAAAAGAAATGTCGATAAATGAACATTATATTTTTCAAAAGCACCCTACGTTAACTATAGGGGACATTTCAGCCTTAATATACAACTCTTCCGAAAGTGCAATTTATAGTAAACTTAAAGGAAGTGAGTCACGTTCTATATTCCTGAGTAGCACGTCACATTTCCCGCCAAAAGCCTTGTCAAATTGAAATCAAATTTTATCTGACACCTCTATAGAGACGAAAACAATGGTATTTGTATAACAAGAAAACGTTGAAAATTAAAATATATACTGTGCAGATATTTTCATACTGAAACGAAAGGGACAAAAGCAAAATTGAATATCGAAAGAATGAAAGGCCTACTACTGAAACTAAGTATTCATTTTCCAATAGACCGGATCTTTATTCTAAACCACTACCGGTACACATTTCGGGAGGATATAACTTAACTCGGGTACTTTCCGTGATCCACGATTTTGAGCGAAAAGTAACGACTACTTTAAGCTTACCTTTAAATGAGTGAAAGTGTCGTAGACTCCAAATCTAAAGAATCATTATTCAACTGCATGCAGTTCACACCTAAAACAAGCACAAATTGATTCCACGGTATTTGCACTTCGGAAAACCAGTTAGACAGGTTTTACCGTTGTGCACATGGCGGAAAGTACTTATTCAAAGAAAATTAAGAATGCGAGACAAATTGTAATCTTAAAAGAGTTTACAGTCTCCTTTGTTGACAAATAGCTTTTTGTTTCAGTTCTTTTATTACCATTGCAACTTATTTTGTTTAGCTGTCTCTACTTCAGGTTTTAGCTGAAGTTATTATCTCTAGAATTCGTTGTCAGTATTTCATAATGTCTTCCTTGCAAACTTTGTTAAGACTGCAAAGCTGTCGAAAGGAGCGACAGAAAACACTCAAGTCGGCAAACCCGTTTGACAAGTTTGCCTTCTATTTGTCAGCAACAAAGACACATAAAGCGCGGGAAACCTACACTCGCTACCAGAGGTCAAATTTATAGTTCCATATAAGTTTTATACGGGAATTCACATTTCCTTTCTCTTTTCAAAGCTAAGCCTGTCACAGCGCGACTCAGAAAAGTATCCCACGATAATAGCACATTCACATACTAACTGCTGTTAGTAGAAACCAGCCAGCATGCTATCACGAATTTTTCAACCGGACTGGCTAATGTATTCACTATCTATTGCTTGATAGACAGTGGGTAGAGAGGCTTCGTTTTGAACGAAAACAAAGCATTGACAAGTTCTTCAACAACTCTTTGTTGCGCGATGTTTCGGAAGGAGAAGCAGATTAGCTAATAACCGCCCAGACATAAGGGAACTAAACAGCAACTTTTTTTGTCCAGCTGGTAGAAACTAAAACTGAATAATAATAATAATAATAATAATAATAATAATAATTGTAAGTGTAATGTTTTGCTAATAACAATGATACTCGCTATCTGTGGCAGTTTTTCCTGATGTGCATTCTTGTTTTGTAACAGTTTTGGAGTATTTATCAGTGTGTAAATGCAGGTTATTTTTGAAGAGAACCTGGGGAACTTGTTTCAGAGGATTTTCAATAGACAACAACACATACTAAAAATCGACAGACATTGACAAATATTAACAGCGGTAGTAGTTCTAACTTAGTTTTAGAATTTCAGCTGTCTTCCTAAAATTGCAATGGTAACCCATTGTGCTTATGACAGCGAATTAATTATAAACTAATACTGCATGATATAAAATGGGTCCTTGAGGGTATTAAGATAAGGTGAAATAGCAATGGTACTATGAATTACACAAATGATCCTTTGTGTATTCCTTTCTAGAACGTTTGATCCATTTGCCCTAAACGTTCTTCAGAAGATGCCCTGGCCTGCACAATGGCCCTCTGTTGAGGGTACGTTTTTCTGCCAGTGAATGGAGGGAGTCGTTATGAAGGGAGAAACATCAAATTGGAATTTGACCTTGTGTTAATGGTAACCGGTGTGTAGGTCATAAGAGTCTCGGCAAAAGTCTTTGGAAAAATGAGCTTCAACAGCTGATTTATTATTATTATTTATTATCAGTAGTTGTTAGCCAAGATGAACGAAGCAGTGGTACTGTGGCACCGTTTCTTCAAATTCTAACGCTGATGCATGGAAAGGGCATTGCATCGAACTTTTCACTGCGCTACAAAAACAAGAATGGATCTGTTTGCAGCTAACGACACTCTAATATAATATAATGTACTTCGAGGTGAAATATATATATGAATTAAGATTCTTAGTACTTATAAAGTATAACATTATAAAAAACGTCACAAAAATAAAAGTGTCCTACCTAGGAGGCCATTACGATCAAATGGTAACAGACAGCAAACTACCCCAAGGTTCGTGTTGCGTGCTTCTGCCGTGTAGCTTTTAAACAGTTTTGGGTATTTATTATATTTCAGCTCAAATTTATGCACTTTGACAATCAATGAAACATAATTTTGACATGGTACTTTGCGATCTCTATTGCAAATACTGGTTACATTTAACCCTAAGAGACTCTTGGCTTACAAACTGACAAACCAAGAATCAAACTCGGTTAAAGTTGAGAGTGTTGTATGCTCGCCGTTGCACGGTTCTTGAAATAAGTACGGAAGGTTAGACACGAAAAAGACCGTGGCCCTTACTCATAAAATCCATTAATTTATGTTCTGCTCTTCAGGGGGGCAAAAAAGAAAAAAAAAATATTCAAATTACATTGTTGGGGGAAATTGCCCTTGGTCAAGATAAATTAGCATCTCTGTCTTTCCTAGAGTCATTCATCACGAATCTGTCGATCAAAGCTTTTATGACTGAAATGTGCATTGCTTTAGTTATTATTTTTTCTTCTATTTATTTTTGCTTTCTTTGAACCTCGGAAAGAAGTCACTATGTCAGCCACCGCACCTTCACACAGCTTCATCATTCTGTTACTGGAGAAACGTTCTCCACATGTAAAACAAGAAAGGGGTAAAAGAGGACGGAACTTTATCGCATTTCCCCTCATACCAAATAAGGCTTCTCTTTTAAGCGATTAATATCATATAGGGAGGATTTTGCATAGTTGCAACAAAATGTCATTTCCCGCTTCGGTTACATGTTTCTATGTTCAAAATTTCAACCATATTCCCAGTCGAAATATTTTTCAATAATATTCAAATATTGCGTGAGTTGAACCCCAAAATAGACATTATAATGATGAAAATAACCTTCGGTTGCTTTTACCTGTGTTTTACTATTCTCTCAAATTTTAATTTATCAACGACAAACACAAAAAGTCATTAAGTTTAGCCTAAAGCCATTAAAGAAATTTCTCTTTCTTCGAGGGGGGCTGAAACAGTGGCCCATGATTATTGACATCGTGTGGCGAAGACACACCAATTCCACGAACGAGACGCATGGTGATGCGGTAAAAGTTTATCAGAATTTATAAATAAGTTTTTGTGAGTTTCCAAAGGAAACTGATAAAATTTAAAAACGTCGCAAACGAGGAGACATCACGCTGAGTCATGGAGTAGTGGATCAATACTACCAGTAGTAAAACGGAACTGACTTAATTTAAAAATAAAAGTTCGCCAAATCGTCGCTCCTCGAATTTATCACTCTAATAGGACTGTTGTCAACTGTTGTTTAGACAAGCAAGCACGATAATTATCCAAAATTGCTTTTAAGTCATTCAGTTTTTGAACAACTTTTTCTGTTTAATGTTGACGCTGCACGCGAGGATTTTGACCCGTTGGCTTTTTAGCATATAAATTGCGCACCCTTTCAACTCAACTTGTTTGGTTAGAACTGTCAAATTCTTTAAATGAAACGAAAATTGGGTTGAAAAGGCGTATTGTATGAGAAAATTATCATTCAAGAGTGATGACTATACACATACGACTGACAATTTTACGTAAAAATGGCCTTGAAAGTTTGCGCCATAGCTTAGATTTAGAAATTAGCCGCGCAAAAAGCAAAGATAAGCAAAATGGTATTGGATGTCACTAAAACGGGGATTGAGCACGGGGAACGGTAATATGAAATATGGCAATAAAACAGACAATAGGTAATGGGGTATTGGCCTAGAGTTTAAGTTAGGTTTTGTTCCTAAGCTTCATTACCTGTTCCCCGATCTCAGTTAAAGGAAACTCCCTAACTCCAAAACATAACGTGGTATTAGGTCTCCGCCTGTGAAGACAGATAAGAGTGAAAGAAAGAAAGAGTTTTGCCATCCGTCTTCAAATTTCAGACATATTAAGACTTGTTATCCATGAATTTTACCTTACAGGTGAAACGGGAAAACGTACAATAACAAATTTTAAGTTTCTTGAGTTCGCTTATGCTCGAGTGACTTAGCAAACAACATATATAATAGGTTTTCATTTTCATTTTGTTTGAGGGGGGGGGGGTGGTAAATAACTTTTTTATGAAGTGAGAAATTTGAAAAGAAAAAAGGAAAACTGGAAACAACCGCTAAACTTGCTGATTCTAGTTGAGAATTCTTTACTATCATAAACGTGTTCAGTACTTGAAGAAGGTCTGGATGGGGGGGAGGGGTTTGGTAGAAATGTCAGCTGTCAGTTAAAAATTTGCCCACTTGTAGGTTGTCAGTTGAACTTTAGTCTTTTTGTCAGTTGTCATTTAAATGATTATTAATGATTAACTATGAAACGTATTTGTATATTTTGGATGCGAAATTTTGTTTAAAAGGCACATATCATGAAAGTTAAACATTAAATTCCAAAACGGATGCATTAGTACCTTAATTTTTATCAGTTTTGCTATTGTACCAGCAGCACACACTTCACGCAGCTGCGTTAAGCATTTCAAGTGGCCCTCCATTTATCAAGTCTTGTGTTATTCTCCTGGCCTCCAATTTCGCCAATCAAAATTTATGCCTTTAGAATATTCATTTATTGTGGGCGTAGATGGTAAGAAAGACAAAGAAAGACCGTATCTGAATCATCTCCAGTCGGTAAAAACTTGCAATTGTTTTCGTGACGCCCTCATTCGCAGCCACCGTATGCTTTCGCGTTCTTAGAGGAAAGTATTAGAATTTGAGATCATAGGTCATTTACAACAGATGATACATGACTCGCATGGGTTCTACAGTAAATCATTAACGTCTTGCTGCTAAGATTACCCATAAAAACGAACATTTGATCACATTGTCTGACAGAAAGAGTGGCAAAATGCTACTTAATTAAGGCCTTAAAAACGGGTTTTGTAGAAAATAAGGGACAATCAGTTCCTTTGAAAGTTTTCAGTAAAACCATAGGTAAGTGTCAGATGTAGGTTAAATTTTAGGCTATTTGTCAGTTGTCAGTTAAGATTTTGGCCATTTGTCAGTTGTCTCCAGACCTTCCTTGAACTTAATCGTGCAAGGAAACGTTATAGTTCATGTGTTATATAATCTGCAAGATGCACAGGAAGACGTCTGATACGCGAGTATCTTCGTTAGTCAGGAAGAGGACGTTCCGCTGATGTGACTGTTTCCTCCATAATAGTGAAGGAATGATAGAGTGGCACAATGATAGGCTATAGATGCTCTGCCCGTGATATTTCGGTAGGTAAGGCAAAGGGTGGTGGTGTATGACGCTGAGATAGCTGATAGGCTGAAGCAGAGATTGCATCAGGGACGGAACTTTGAAGAACTTTGACATGGTATGACGAAGTGCATAACTGGGATTGGGACGAGACTCTGTTCGAGCGCAATGAATTTGCTGCAAGGTGGACTTTAAAAACTCCCTGTTGCATGTGGGGCTGGTTGGATAGGCGCTGCTTGTAGAGGCGGATATTTAAGTGGTCGTCGATGAAGGTCAACTGTTTGTTGGAAAACTGGTCGCGTTGTGTTCACATTTCTCGACCGTTAAAGGCAGAGATATCTAAGGGGAAAGTTTGGAGAGTTACGAGATAGTTTGGCTTCCAGATCCTGTAGAACCTGGTCGAGCTTAATCGTAATCCTATGCTTTCTTAAGAGTTGATCGTTGACTTAAGAGCCTTATGCCAGGTGCAGGGTCATTACGAATCACTACAAGTGACAAAACTTGAATCAACCTCTCTACTGTTTGCAGGACATGACTCTCCATTAGATATAACAGTGTGGATGGACATTTCACGGAATCCAGAATCCATTTCTGAAATTATTTTTAATGGCTGGAATCAACTTCAATGTAGTAATTTGCACACTCAAGCTCAGACTAAAACAACAACTATCTTGAACAATGGACCAGGAATGTTGTTTAATATTCCTTCATTATTATCAATGCGACCGTCACACCTTCGGGTAACGTAGACCATCGCATCGCACTCTCACTGATGTTCCTATTGTTAGATCACAATATCCCGTCATTAGAAGCAATTCACTGAAACTGTGCAATTTGAACGCATGATCAATAAACAGCAAATATGCTGATTTTTTGTGTTACGTCCAATCTTGTTGAGCAGATATTTTTGCTATCACTGAGACTTGGTTCACAGAGATAGACTCGGCACACAGAGTTGACGTGACTCCACCTACGTATAAGTTGTATGACCATGCAAGATCTGGACTCAACTGGGAATGGGACTGCCTTACGTTGTGCCGCGATAACTTAGGTGTGACCAAGGTAGCGGTCGGTTCCAAAAGGTCTGTTGAATTTTCCGAGTAGATTATCCTTGGAAAGGGTTCTTGTAAAGTATGCATTGTTGTTGTATACCGCCTGCAGTATTCTCCTAATCATCCTGTCACTATCGGTGTGTTTTTTCAGAATTTTGCTGATTATCTGGAGTCCATTATTCTTTCTTTGGAGTCGTTGTTGGTAACCGGTGACATCGATATCCATGTCGATGTTGTTGGGGATCCTGATCGTGCGAAATTTCTTGAGCTAAACGAAACAGTGGGTCTCCAACAGGACGTTATTACGCCTACTTGTGAGTCTGGGCATACATTGGATCTGATCATCTCGCGGCAATGTGAAAACCTGGTCAAGACAACGCCTGTATCTGACTATCACATATCCGATCCCTGAATGTTACTTGCTTGTTAAACCTCAACACGCCAAGTGTAACTAGGAAGACAGTGACATTCAGGAAAACTAAGGGCGTTGACCTGGCAGCTCTGTCTAATGAACTTTCTTCCTCGGACTTATGCAAGAATACTCCCGACACGCTAAGAGACCTTGTTGATTGCTACAACACTACACTTTCGTCCGCTCTTGACCGTCATGCTCCACTCGTTAAACCGTCAATGGGACAGTAATTCGCAATTTGACCCAACATCAGCTTTAGAAAGTTAACGTTGAAAGTTGAAGTCGAAGGGCGATAAGGGTTGGAGGGTGGTACGGTGCACGTGTCGCCACCATTTTGGATTCCTCGAAGCGGTTGGGCTTGGGTATTTTTTAGCGCCATGGCCTATGACAGCAGTGAAGTTGGTGAAAAAGGATAAAGTGTATACTAGATTTATTTTCCAATTCTCAAGGCTGCTTATAGTTTCACATTAGCCAGTTTGGTCTCCGTGGTCGAAACTTACAAGTGGTTTTTTTTTTGCGGCCAAAGATGTGCCTTGATTTGAACCAAACGCTGCCACCACTCCAGTTGATGAGATAAGACAAGGACCAAGGCAAAACCGTTTCGTGTAAGGCTTTTAATAAAATAAGAGATTCAATAATAGAGAAACAGAAGAAACATGGCCGATGCCGGGACTACTTTAATTGATGTTCCCCGACAAGGTGCATGGACAAGAACTATGCTCTTAGATATCTTTCTCGTTTTATGCGAATCAAATTAGCAACAATGCTAATTGTGCTTATTCTTGTATATCTGACAAACCAAAGGGAACTCTTTCACAAAATGTCTTTAAAATCTTTTCGCTTGTGGAGGTTAAATGTGATTGCGATAAATCATTTAACTACGTTTTAGATAGCTACTGTAACTAGTTCACCTCTTCCTTAAAGCGGGGATGTTTGTTTAGTTTCAGTATCAGTAGGGTTGCTGCATTATTATTCCTGAAAAGCACCTTGTGGGCGACGATTATTAAGTATATACTATTTTAAATATTGTGCAATCAATGAGCGATAAGTTTTATGACTCACTACAGTTCCACTGTATTGACTTGAGCAGCTTCATTTGAAATTATGGAAGAACCGGGACTCCACCTGGCTATCTAATAGTGACTTTTCATCAAAACTGTAAGACATAAAAAATGGGGCACTCCAGAAATTATTGAAAGGATGAACTGCATTAGTAAGACCAGGTGCCATTACCAAGTTTGAATTTCGGCAAGACAAGGTGGGCAAAAATCGACACGAGCACAATCTAAGAGAACTAGGCTGAAAGCTGCCTGAAAAACACTGTGGCCCATGATTACTTGGAAACCAAATCAAAGGTCTTCCTTGCATTTTCTCAAGCTGTGGTATGCCTGGGTCGGGGAAGCCTTTGAATGGAAAGTGTATCTTTCCGCCAGTTGTTCCGCTGGTTTCGAACTTTGTGAAAGATGCTGCGGTAGACGCTATAGCTTTTTTCTCTGCTCTTCGCTTGCTCCGTTTGCAGGGTTTGCGCCGCTTAGGTTGGTATTTATATCCTGGGTTTTCCACCTTGTGTTGCTCGTTAAGCCTCCGTGCTTCTTCTACGTACGGTTCTTTGTCTTCTTCAGAGAGTTTTCTCCACGCAGCACCCAGAGCTTTGCTTACTTCGGCGTTGTTTATTCCCGGGTGTTCCTTTAGAATGTTGTAACGTTTCTCGCGACTCCATACCATGAAACAGTTCATGGGTCTCTTAATATGTGTCTCAGAGTTCATTCCTATGAGATCTCCTACTTTTGATGCGTTCTGCAGGCTACTGACGTCTTTCAAGGAGTTAATCACAATGCTTTTGAAAGACACCATGTCCCTTGCTGCGTTTTTAAAATCCAGTCAATTAAATTCAAACAAAGCCAATTAAATTCATATTAGTAACAGGTACTCAGCATAACCAAAACAAACTGCCACCTGAAACCAATGAATTAATTATTTACTTTCTGGGGAACGCCTGATTTTCTTAACTTAAAACGGTCATACACCATGCATAGAGACTGTATTTAAGCAGATGAATGTATCTTTAAGTACGATGTGCACTTGGAAGTTCTTACCTCCAAGCTCTCTCTTTTTTTAAGGCTTCGGAATTGTCTTTCATATCTCCTGTTTTTAGACTTCAAACAAAAATTGCGGTTCCAAATGTTTTTAGAATATGATGGCTTGCTTTATAAATGTTTGTCTCGGTTGAGTCAACAGCTCTAAAGCATTCAACCACAGTTTGGTTTATAGCAGTTATCAAGTGGTGTTTGGCTACTTTGCGACGCCATTAGCTATTGTCTGTACTTTCCCGCCTATCATGAATTTAATTAGTTATGGCACAATAACTAATTTTGCCCATGACGAGAGCAAAATTTGCCTTGACCGTGACATTGGTTGAAGAATGGCAGCATGCATGAAGTGTTTTGTTGATGCCATTCCTGTTTAACGATATAATTATGTTAAGTAAAAACATAGCTTAATATAATTGTACTTTGATTTAACTGTCAAATATAACACAAACAATGATTTTACTGTCCACAAGATACATATCAAACTTTCCAATATGACAATTAAAAACGGCACCGTGTTTACGTGCTACAAGGAAGGACACAGTGTTTGTGAAGACAATTTCCGCTCAATCCAAAATCGCAATTGTTTACACTCCTACTTTTATAATGGCCATTTTAATTGAAGATTTCAGGGTAAGGACCTTTAAGCAATTGGACGACAAGGCTCCGAAACACTGTTTTAAACCCCAAATGTTTTTGACAGGTTTCCCTACAGGTTTCAGAAAGATCTAACTGGACTTGCTGGAACATGGCTACTCAGTGAAATGTTGCAGGCATTTGATCGCAATGAGGCCAAAACACGATTTTTGTGCGTCCGAAAATTCTGCACAGAAGAAAAATGAAAAGAAAAATAGGAAGAGCGAGAAGAAAAGAAGGAGGAAAACAAACTAAAGTCATGGTGACAGTCACGCTCTTAGTTTTATAGTGCCTAAATGGAAAAAAAAATCAGTTGCAGTGTGAGCAACATTTAACACTTTGCTTACATGTTGAATAACGTTTGAAAAATATCAAGGTGGAAATCGGTGAAAAATGTCACATCTATCCTTAATCACTGCGTAAAAGAAGAAGCGAATAGAATAGAATGTCATTTATGACAAAATTATCAGCGGTATGAGGTATTGCAGTTTCTGGTTTCTACTTTGGGACAGGGTAGGGATTTTTGGTGCCCAGTCTTCTTGCTCGTAAAGGCTCGTTGCTTTTTTTGAATACCAGAGAAAACGTGTCTTGGACTTAAAGTCTTGTCCCAGGATGGTGTCTTTCCGTTATTCGCTTCTCTTATGCTGCTCTATAAGCCACACTGAGTACAGTTTTCGGTATGCCGGCTATCATTCAAACAAAACAGTGAAATGGAATACCAGGAGACTGTAGCAACAAATAGGAGGAATTGAAACAAAAGCTGCCAACTAATCATTCAAGAAGTAGGCCAAGTTAAGATAGACTCCTGGTTTGTGAATTCTAAGAGGCTTGGGCCAACTAATCCTGACTAATCAATACGTACAAGGCTGGGCATGGCCCGTTTCACTAAAGTTCCATTAGCGTTACAGAGCCGAAGCCATATTTAGTAACAATAAAAATCGAAAGAAATGTTACGCCGTCATAAACTGCTGCGTAATTACGTTAACCCCAGAATGAATCATATACAGGGTGTTTCAAAACTTCGTTCCGATTTTTTATTCGCTTAAATTTCACTAATTATTTTAAAAAAAAACCTTTTGTAAAACTTAGTATATTATTCATTATTCATTTAACATTGAATAACTGAAATGTTAGAAACCAGAATGTCTTCTTGTATACTTTCTGACATTTTCTAAGCGGTGAAAAAGCGTGTCCAAAGTCACATTCTTCCAGGCGAAGCGTAGTCACTGTCTTAGCTCGTCAAGTGTTTTGGGGGCTTGATCTTTGTATGTCGTCTCGTCTACGATAATCCAGATGGTCTCTAGGGGGTTCACACGACGTGAGTTTGCCGGCCGGTCCTCCTTTGGTATAAAGTTTACAAATCCTTCTGACACATGCTTGCAAGAAGCGTGCACCGCCTTTTTCAAATCAGGGCTTTCCAACCTTTTTCGGTAACTTATATCCATACTGTTGTACTCGAAACTCTGATCGATAATGTGAAGTTGAAATTTTTTTACCTTTCTGTTTTTTTGGAATTATTACACATATACTTGCAGCTTTTTCGATAATATTTCTCACACAGTTTGTGAAAAACGTCCATCCACTCCTTGGTTGTCTTCTTAGGCCTTTACTTTTGACCACTCGCTCGATCATCGTTCAGATTTCTTCAACTATTCGCAATTTTTTTTTGGACTGAATGGCCAGAGAACCATAAAAATAGATGCCTGAGCTCTAGCACAAACAGTGCAGACCTTCATTTTCACGAAGGAGTAGAGAAATTAAAAGAAAATGTTGAAAATACCAAAATAGAAAACCTACAAAATGAGCAGGAAAAGTATGGGGGGAAAAACCTCGCGTACGTGTACAGTTGGGGCAAAAATTAAAAAAAAAAAAAAATTCTTCAAAGTTTAGTTTGAAATTGCTTTGAACGGTTATTTAGATAAATTTCTTACCTGAATCAGTTTACATTTGCGTAAAGAAGCATTAAATGCTTTGCACAAAATACAATTTACAATTGGAAAGAACTTTGAAACACCCTGTAGAGACATTAAATCTCGTACATTTTTAAGTGAACACTTAAAAAAGGTCTTTTCCGAGCCTTGTGTTTACAAACCCAGTGATGGGAAGAAAATCTTCTCCCACTGTGTGGAATCACTCGAGTAACATGCGTAATGGTCCATTTTGCAGCAACTGTCAAAAATTCCTTGCTATGGGGATATCCAAACCATCAAGATTCACCTTGCTGACTCTCAATCGTCCCCAGGGAAAGCTCTAGGTTTTGAAGGTATCTAGGTT